TGTTTAAGATTATCCTTCTCAGACATATTAATCAACATATCTTGAGATAATTTATCTTTCTTCGTTTCACTGTATATTTTATTTTCATCTGTGCTATTTTGTAATTTATTATTTTCAATTTCTTTAAAATTTATTGCATTTTTAACTTGATTAGTTTCAATGTTTATATCAGTAGTAACTTCATTTAATTCATGAATTATATCAATAATTTTCTGAGAAGCATTTTCATTAAATTTTTGCATTGTTAAGTCAGGTGTTACAGTTTCCTGAATATCGTTTAGAATTTCTGTATCAGTCATAGTTGTACTTCTTTCAATAATATATACTTCAGAATCGCAAGAATACTTTTTTCTTCTTATTTTAAATCTTTTCCGTAAAATATTTTGTTCTTGTTCATCTTCACTGACACTCAAACAATCACCGAAATATGTTCGAAACTTGTTTATTATCCTTTTTCTCTTTTTCCTAATTATTTCTTTATTCTCATTAATGTGTGCATAAATATTTTTCCTTTTAATAAAATCTGGAATTACTGGTTTGTGCAATTTTTTTTCCTGCATATTTTCTTCGATTTTTACTATTTTCCCAGTACTGAGGGTACAATTCGATATACTGTCTTCATATTTAAAGTATTTATTTTTATTTGGTATAGAATCCAAGTTGATATCTATAATCTTCTTCTTATGCAATTTTTTATCAGCATCCAATTTTATCAATGTCCAATTAGTATCTACCTTTTTATAAACATTTGACGTAGTATAATCACTTATCTTATTAGAACAAGAATTTTGATTTAATTTTACGTGATTTCTTTTATTTTCATCAGATATTTGTACTTTCTTTGGACCTACTTTGTTAAATATTAAATCAGAAGTTTTCTGTGTTTTTTTGTGTTTTTCTTTATTTTCAATATGATTTTCATCTCTACCATATTTTTTATTTAAAACTATGCTATTATATCGTGATTTATGAATGCCATTCATCGAAACACTGAAAGATCGATTGTTGGATAATTTTTCATGTACCCTTATTTTTGAAGGAACAATTTTATCCAACTGTTCCAGAGCTTGGTCAAAGGAATGAATTGTTGTTACTTGATCGTCTAATTTACATTTGTTTGGTGAAAATAATTTTCGATTGTTGCTTATCGATGCATCTTTATATGCTACAATTCCATCATTTTCTCTAATATATTTGTTTCTTCTTTTCACATATCTTTCTGTCATGTTTGTTTTATGTACATTTTCACTTCCCAATCGCAAATTTGAAACGTTTGTTCTAGAATTATGAAGAATCTTCCTTTCCTCTTCATGTTCTAACAGACTCTTTGGTCTAAAACATCAGAAAAGAGATATCTAAAAATTCGTTTTTATGATTTACATAGTATTGTGTATGTTCATAAATTTAGAAAATATGATTGTTTGTCGTGCATATTTCTTTTACCGGAAGTAAGATCTGCCCCTCCAGAGAGATTACACTTGTGATATCAAATGCAAAAGTGGTGTAAGTCAATTGTTTGTCTATTTAGTTTATCACTACATTTCGAAATTTTAAACTCCTATTTTATATAAAAAATTTGTACAGCTTCAACTGAACCAGGTAATACATTGTTCAATAAAAAAAAAAAAATGTGATTATTGATGATCGTGTTTATATTTTGTCATGAAATAAATAATTTAAAAGTAACATCACATATATCGGATATGCTATTATAGTATCCGGGCTGAAAGATCTTTTTTGTTAAGTTTGTATTTTATGTCGCTAGAAACGAAAATAATGATCATTTGTCACAGAAATAAACGGTTTTGAAAATTCAGTTGGGCGAACTGTAGTAATTGAATTGCAGCAACAATATTTACATATTTATATTACAGAAAAGTATTTCGCATTGAACAAACATTAACAGTCATTAATTACATTCTAACGCAATTAAAATCATACATAAATAAATGGCCACACTTGAGAGTTTCTCTTTTTTAATCGTACGAATACAATTTATTTCATAATACAGAATAACTGGAAAGGACATCGGGAAGCATAGGCTTCTCCTGTTAAACAAGAATGTAAATCGAATGCTTCGTTGTAAATTCAACGATTGCAAACTTACCTATATTTCTTGTAAGGTATCTGCCGCATAATGACCACACGTGGTTTTGTCGCTAACTGTATCAAACCTCGATGAACTTGCCTTTGCGATAGTCCTAAATTTTGCAGATCCGCTTTGAGCTGAAACAATAGCCATCGTGTTTTATGGTTATATTCCTGTAACATTGTCAACGCAATTCTATTTCCAAATATGTAAAAAATCGAAGAGAAAGAAAAGACGAGCACTTCTGTTCAATGTTGATGTTTACGTTACGTTCGTTTGTTTAAGTTGAATGACATTGTGGGTAGGCTACTATATATGCGCACAATACGACGAGATTTTCGAATAGCGTGCAAAATTTTTGTCCAAAACCTGTCGGAAGACGATCGATTGTGAATATGATTCGCACCTTTTTCAGCACTTCGCAACGGTGAATTGGTCCGATGCAGTGAAGCCACTGTTTCAACACGAGATTGTCGAAGTTCACCGCCACAACGGATCCCCCCGTTTGCGTATTTTCTGACATCGTCACAGCGATACACGTTGCTCTCTGTTGCTCCTTTGTATATTAAATGTTTCTAGCAGGATAGAACGACGATAGATGAAGTAAAGTGTGTTTACATTGTCCCGGACGGAAAGTCAATGGTTTAATAATACAAAGGAAATATCAAACTGATTTTGCGTACACCATATTTGATTTTATATGGTATAGCAATTTTTCTTTTTTGTTTTGTTTTGTTTTATTTTATTTTGTCTGAAACATGTAGTCGTGGAAAGATAACATTCGATAGCGACAGAAATTGATTTTACTTAAATGAAACTTTGATCGGCAAATGTATAATTGAAATGTAAATTTCAAACATTTTACATTAGACTGTCGTTTAAGTGTGAAAAACGTATATCTTTTTAAACACATGTATTCTTGAACTTCAAAGCACATATCTAATCGTGAAGACATGTATTACATAATTTGGTAAACGATGTTATTAGAAGATAATGTTTTGAATCAAAGATTTTTTATTAGACGAGATATTTCGCAATATCAGTACTGCAATGCCATCGGCGAGATATCTTGCTCCGTAACACTGTTTTTCTACAATTCCACTGGCGATTTCGCAACCTCGCTCTCATCGTAATAGTGTTTTTGCCTCTCAATCGAGGGGACATTTGCTTGTAGTATTAATGCTACAATTTTTGCATTTTTCCTTCAATGTCTTCGATTGATCTTAATAAAAGATACACGAGCGAAATTATAATAACAGTGTTATGAAGCGAGATGTTGCAGCACTCGTCGGTGATATTGCACAACCGATATAGTTGTAGCCAGATTGTTTCGTTCATGACATAGTCAAGTTAAATATAGGATCTTTTCTTTGTGCAAACAATGAACTTTTTTTAGTTCTTCATTTCACTTATAAACTTATCAGATTCACATTGATGTCTCTTATTGCATTCTGCGCACATAAAGTTGCAGGATTATTTCTTGTTTTTTTTTTTTTTTTTCTTTCTTGTAAATTATCAATAATTTTAATATTAAAAATCTGTTGAATTGTTGGTTCATGTTCCAATCTTCATGAAGCTAGTACATCAGCTGTATACACTTTTTAAAAGTAATCTCTCTTTGCTTTAAGTCCCTCGAGATATTAGCACACATGCTAGATGGCGCTTTTTATGTTTAGATACCGATAGAACTATTGCAAGTTCGATGGCAATTAGTTTCTCATTTTTGCTACGAAATTTACCACTCTTTCGGAGGCACAACTTACACTGAATCATCCGAACTCGCTTCCTCTATTTATGACAGGGCGTCACGACGGATTTAATCAAATGAGAAATTTATCAACTTTAAACCAACAGCCTTCTTTCATGCTTTCCTGTGTAAATATATCGTGAACTTTGGCCAAATTTTAATCACAGTAGATAACAACGAATATAAGTATTATATATTACGAGGAAGAGTAAGTAAGATGATCAAACGTATAGCTTGAGAAAACTGGAACGTATATAGTACAGCAAGCTGGAACTTACAATCATTGCAATTAAATTAATGTAGTTTTTCCATAATGAACAATTTTTTTTAGTAATGTGGTAAAATTTAAAGCCAACAAATGAAACTAAATATATTTATAAAGCAAAGAATAGTTTTTGATTTATTTAACGTGGTGGTTTTCGTTGATCATTGAAAAATGCAATTAGTATGCTAGGACACGTAAAATCAATGCCAATTATGTTTATCATGCATATGACATGGACACGGTAATCTAAGAAAAGCAGGATGTTTACGAATATATATGCCTGATTTTACTTGTTATGCATAACGAAAACTCAATACACAATGTTTAATTAAAACTTTATTTAAAAAAAATAAAATCTTTATTTAGAAAAAAAAAAATTTGACAATATGTAGAATCTTTTCATAACCCTATGGCAGTCCTCTAATTTATTATGTTCATTTAAGAAAGCTAAAACACGTGAACGATATTCTTTGAAAGTTCAATTATGTTGACAATTGTTGACCAAAAAAAAAGATGTCCTACATGTGTCCCAAGTTAAGTTCAAATCTCGTTAGAATCTCCTAGTGATTAGGATCTAATTTACGACGCAATATAGAATTCATGGCAGCCTCGAGTGTTTTCGTTTCTATCCTCCTAAAACTCAGGATAACAAAAACCAGTTGAATTTTGTACTTACAAAGAGAAATATCCTGACTCGCAGTATAAGCACCGAGTCGATATCGACAATAATTGGATCGTCCAACGTTATCTCCTTGTCTATATTACGAGTTCAGTTATAAAAACTCTATCAGCAGTTGA